AGTAAAGACAATAGGGCTGGGTGTGGTGGCTTATACCTTTAATACCAGCACTTTGGGAGAAGACCGAGGCAGGAGGATTGCTTGAGGCCAGGATCTCAGAGTTCAGCCTGGGTAACATAGTGAGTCTGTCTTTTAAAAAAAAAAAAAAAAAAAAAAGGCTGAACTCAGTGGCTCAGTCTGTAATCCTAACACTTTGGGAGGCCAAGGTGAGTGGATTGCCTGAATCCGTGGGTTCAAGGCCAGCCCACACAACTTGATGAGACTTTGTCTTTACAATAAATAAAAAATTAGCCGGGCTTGGTAGCGCACATTTGTAGCTCCGGCTGCTTGGAAGGCTGAGGCAGAAGGATTGCTGGAGCCCAGCAGATTGATGCTGGAGTGGCTGTGAGTGTGCCACTGCACTCCAGCCTGGGAGGCGGAGTGAGACTCCAACTCAAAAAAAAAAAAAAAAGAAATAATAGATATAATAGATATACCTTTTATCCACTTTCCACCAATTATAACATCTTGCAGAATTGTAGTACACTATGACAACCAGGATATAGATATAGATATAGTCAAGAGCCAGAATGTTTTTATCACCACAGAAAACCTTCTTGTTGCCTTTTTATAACCACATGGCCTTCCCCCTTATTCTTAACCCCCCAGAACCACCAATCTGTTCTGTATTTCCATAATTTTGTCTTTGTCTTTTCTTTTTTTTTTTTTCTGAGTTGGAGTCTCACTCTTGCCCAGGCTGGAGTGTAGTGGCATGCTCACGGCCACCACAGTCTCAACCTGCTGGGCTTAGGCAATCCTTCCACCTCAGCTGTCTAAGTAACTGGAACTACAGGCGCATGCCACCACACCCGGCTAGTTTTTGTGATTTATTATAGAGAGGAGGTCTCACCAGGTTGCCCAGGTTGGTCTCAAACCCCTGGGCTTAGGCAGTCCTCTCACCTTGGCCTCCCAAAGTGCTGGGATTACAGGCTGAGCCACTGCGCCCAGCCAATTTTGTCTTTTCAAGAATGTTATATAAATGGAATCATAAGCATGTAATCTTTTTAGGATTCCCTGTGTGTCAGAAGTTCATTCCTTTTTATTGATGGGTAGTTTTCTATGGTTTGGATGTACCACAGTTAATTTAACTGGTTACCCACTGAATGACACCTGGATTGTTTCCAACTTCTGACTACTGTGAATAAAGCTACTGTAAACACTTATGTACAGGTTTTTCTATGCATGTAGGTTTTCATTTCTTTAGATAAATACCTAGGAGTACAATTTCTGGGCCATTGCAATTGCACATTTAGTTTTTTTTAAAGAACTGCCAAACTCTTTCATAGTGGTTGTATTTACTTTCCCACCAGCAATGTATGCATGATCAGTTTCTCCTACCCAGCATTTGGTGGCATCACTACTTTTTATTTTATCCATTATAGTAGTTGTGAAGTAATATTTCATTGTGGTTTGATTTTGCATTTCCCTAGTAGCTAATGATTTTCAACATATTTTTATGTATTTGGTGATCATCTATATATCCTCTTCAGTGAAATCTCTGTGTCTTTTGCCCATTTTCTAATTGAATTCTTTGCTTTTTTGCTGTTGAGTTTTGGGAATTCTTTACATATTCTAGATATTAGCCCTTTATTGGATGTGTGATTGGCAGATATTTTCTCACTCTGTAACTTTTCTTTTTAGCCTCTTATCAGGGTCTTTTGCAGAGCAAACTTTTAAAATTTTGATGAAGTTTAGTTTATCAGTTTTTCCTTTTTTTTTTTTTTTTAATTGAGTTGGAGTCTCACTCTTGTTGCCCAGGCTGGAGTACAGTGGCACACTTACGGCCACTGTAACCTTGACCTGGTAGGCTCAGGCAATCCTTCTGCCTCAGCCTTCCAAGTAGCTGGAACTACAGACACATGCCACAACGCCTGGCTAGTTTTTGTGATTTATTGCAGAGACAAGGTCTCACCAAGTTGCCCAGGCTGATCTCAAACCCCTGGGCTCAGGCAATTCTTTTCCTTGGCCTCCCAAAGTGCTGGGATTACAGGCCGAGCCACCGTGCCCGGCTCCAGTTTTTCCTTTTATAGGTCATGCTTTTGGTGTCAAGTCTAAGAACTCTGCCTGGCCCTAGATCCTAAAGACTTTCTCCTATGCTTTTTCTAAAAGTTTTATAGTTTTATTTTTTATATTTAAGCCCATAATATTTTTATTTTTTATAGAGAAGAGGTCTCAGTATATTGGCCAAGCTGGTCTTGAACTCCTGGTCTCAATGATCCTTCTGCCTTGGGCTCCCAATGTGTTGGCATTACAGGCATGAACCATACACCCAGCCTTTAAATCCATAATCTATTTTGAGTTTGTTTTGTTTAAGATATGAGATTAGGTCAAGGTTCTTTTTTTTTTTTTTTTTTTGCTTATGGGTTTCCACTTGCCCCAGCACCCACCGGTGAAAGGCTCTTTCCACTAGTGAATTGTGTTTGTCAGAGATTGTTTGGGATTTATTTTTAGTTCCTCTATTCTGTTCCTTTGACTTGTGCCCCTCTGCCAATATTGCACTTTCTTGTTTATAAAAAGCTTTACAAAAAGCCTTAAAATTGGGTAGACTGGTTCATTCTTGTTTTTATTCTTCCTTTTTTGAAAATCTTTTAGCTCCTTCGCCTTCCCATATCAATTTTAGAATAATTTTGTCTATATAAAACATTTGGCTGGGATTTTGATAGGATTTTTGTTAAACATGTATATCACTTTGGGGAAAATTGACATCTTTACTATACTGAGTCTTCCAATCTATGAAAACAATATAGCTTTCCATTTATTCAGTGTTCCTTTGATTTCTTTTATCTGCATTATACAGTCTTCAATATATAAGTCCTATATATGTTTTGTCAGATTTAAAACTAAGCAGTTCTCTTTTATTGAGCACTTGTAAATGGCATTACGTTTTCTTTCTTTTTTTTTTTTGAGTTGGAGGCTCACTCTGTTGCCCAGGCTAGAGTGCAGTGGTACACTCACAGCCACCCCAGCATCGACCTACTGGGCTCTGGCAATCCTTCCGCCTCAGCCTTCCATGTAGCCGGAACTACAGGTGCACGCTACCATACCCAGCTAATTTTTGATTTATTGTAGAGACGAGGTCTCGCCACGTTGCTTGGGCTAGTCTTGAACCTACAGACTGAGGCAATCTACTCGCCTTGGCCTCCCAAAGTGCTGGAATTATAGGCTGAACCACTGAGCCCGGCTGGCATTATGTTTTCAATGTCAGTGTCCTAGTGTCTGCTGCTAGTATATAGAAATACAATTGATTTTTATGTGTTTATCTTGTATCCTGTAACTTACCTAACTCATTTATTAGTTCTATGAGTTTTACTTTTTACTCCTAATCCTAATTATTAGATTTTTTTTTTTTTTTTTTT